CCATTCTGTTATTCCCATATACCAAATCCAAGATCCTGGAAATGAGGAGTTTTATATATTATATAAATACGTCATCATTGTGGAGTTTAAATTCATCACGTAATTCAAATTTATAGAACAGAATTTTTATCAGATCAACATATGCTTTGTTCATGCTTCACTCATCAGCTGTTTTTTGCCTGTGATATCTATATATATTTATTAATTCAAAGGTTCATTCAAGGATCTATTGTCAGAAATTGATTCTAATATTCCTAGGCATGTTTTCAATGTGGCCATGTTGAATTGCTATGTTTCTACAGTAGCCCAGGAGAGACAAAACAAACACTGGCTCTGGATAGCACTGTTCATGTTTTTTGCACAGCCACCATAGTAGGAGTGACTACACCGCTAGATGCCACTGAATGCTACACACTGCACTTTTGATGATGCTTTGAATTACCAGCTGAATATAAACACAGTTTTAAACTAAATTAACCAAAAACCAAACTTCTTCAATGCATCAGAGTTTTCTTCTTGCAAATGGCTTCACAAGAACAACAGTTCTGACCAAGAATTTAGTTTCAATATTTTTCAGTTTTTTGATGCTATCAGGTAAGCTGTGATTGAGGCCATAGGACTTACAGAATGTCTGCTGACAGTAAGATTTCATTCATGACCTTGGAAAAAGTAGTTTGAAAAATAAACTAAAGGTCCACTTACTTTTTTTTTACAGAGCTTACTACATTTTAAGACCATGAGATGCACTTAAAACATTTGAAAAAGCTTGTAAGTGAACCCCCAGTAAAAAATTATTAAGTCAGACCTTTTAGAAAGGGTGATATCCCACTTCACCAACTACCAGGATAAATAACTTGGCACTTGATTTCAAATTTTTGGTACCGTAGCATCTACTAAATAAATGTATCCCAAGGAAGAGAAGTTGTGTGCACTTTTGTATTATTGCATGTAGTTTTATGATATATTAATGCATTACACTAAAGCAACAGATGCAGAAATATGTGTACATGCAAACTAAACTGCAAACAATGCAAACTAGTGTGTAACATTTAGGAGGATTTTGGCAGAAATGAAATTCATAGCTATGTTTTCATTAGTGTATAGTCAACTGAAAAGAAGAATTGTTGTATTTAATGAGCCGTTTGTATCTTGGGAGGGAGCAATTCCTCTTCTATGAAGTCTGCCATGGTAAACCAACCATAGCACAGAATGGACAAACCAGGTTTTTTTTTTATGTTTCATTGCCACCACAGTTTCTCCTACATGCTAGGAGGGGATTGTGGGATGGATGGATAAACCCCTGTGCTAGCACATTATACAAACTGCTTCTTTACTTCTAAATAAATATTAAATATAGCTAAACTGTGGTTTACCCATACGCTCTGCTGTAAATGCTGTAAAGTCTTGTTGCTGCATCCCAAACATAAGCAAGGAACAGGTACAAAATGTTCAACAGAAACACAAGCCAGGCTGTACAAAACACAGCATTTGTTTTGTGTGTGTAGTGTGGACATACACAGGGTGTCTTTGTATGAACATGTATACTCAGTGTATTCTTGTCTTGTACTGGCAGAACACAGGGCTTGTCTTTTCCTCTGCCTGCCTCTCTCCTGACCTGCTCACAGCTGCTAATTGGTATCTAGGAGGCTGTGTCCGCCTCGTTCCAACATGGTTCACACCAGAAATGTAAAAAATAAAAAGGTCCCAACTACAGTATTTATTTTCAAAATGGTTTCAGCTGCATTCCCTCCCTAACCATGTCTCCTAGAGATGACATGTGTATATTACTAAACTGTTGTAGTTAAGGTGACAACATAATACCTGCCTTATGTTCAGAGACGTTTTCAAACACTACATTTATTATTTACCATGCTGGAGTTGTAAGATGGTGGTTGTGGTGGATGGCAGGTCTACAAAGTCAAGGACACAATATTATGTAAATGTTAATAAAAAATCCCAAGCCACTGTTTCTTTATTAAAACACACCATGATCTTTCCCTAAACAAAACCCAAAAAAAGATGAATAATGCAGAATTTAGAAAATAGATTAAATATGTTGTCTGTGAACATTTTGGTCATTATATTAGTTCATTCAACATTATACTTCCCCCAAAATGTATTTCCTTTTGTAAAATAGTTATGTATAAACATAATTTCTAGGTGACAGGGCTGTCATTAGGGTAGTTCTGTCACCTCTGACTGTAGGACCATAGCAGTAAATAGTTCAGTAACACTAAGCTCTTCCTGACATGCATGATGAATGTTAAGTGTTCATTTTTCTGATCAGTTTGGATTTAATTAGTTATTTAAAGCCCTTAAAGGGGGGTTTTCTTGACATGAATGACAGGTGAGCCCTGCTTGTGATTGAGTTGGCCAGGCGTATGGACGGGTCCTCAATCTAGCGGCACCAACGCTGATCACTACTACGTAGACTTCTGTCTTCAAATGGTGAAAGATGGCAGCAGTATCTAGGATATTTTGGCTTCATTTTTGTACAGTGGGTGAAAGTGGAGATACAACATCCGTCTTTTATATAATGACGGATCCAACACTGTCATATGACACACAACAGCCCTGAAACAACTGAATCAAGTGGAGTGCAACAACCAGAAACAGCCCTGCGACACTGCAACAAAGTTTCAATATATGCTAACCGAGACCCATCACTCAAAGGAAGAAGTTCCCTTTTTGGTATCATATGATAGTTAGTGTGCTATGTAGCACTGCACTCATGGGAGGATGCATCATAAAACCAATAGAGTAATAGTTAACATAATGTTACGTTAACAGAAGCATTCATTCTTTGTTAATAAAATAATGGTTGTCATAATGCGTTAGGGAACCCCACAGATGGATGATTTTACTGCTTGCATAGGACCTCGACACCTTCTTTTGGAAGCTTAGCTCCCACTGGCTCCCATGTAACGGGAACCCTGTTTGGTAGAGCTGTCATAGAGCTTTATTCTGTGTTTAAAGTGGTACTATAGTGATTAAGAATTGCACTACAATAAAGGATCTCACAAGAAGCCCAAGCTGAGATGACATCATCCAAGTTATTATCTCCTCTACAGCCACAGAATACATAATACAACTTTTTTTGGGCAGAGGGGTTCTCTTTATGATGAGTAAATTGACCTTTACGTGTACAATTGGTGCAGTGCCCCTGCTCCACAAGCCAGATGAACTATAGAATTCATGCTTCTGTTTTATTTTCTGGACCTGTTTGAATCAGCAATAAGCAATAAGAAATAAGGAATATATAAATATTTATGACATAAAATGTTATAAGAGCCTTTTACTCAATAAACAACAATGCATAAAAAAACAAATGTATAGTTAGTGCATTACTCTTCCTCTTCAATTCACTATTATTAAACCCAACATTTACTCTAGAAAACACTTCTCTTTGAGTTGACACAGAAAATTGTAGGTTAATATTGTAGTCATAATTGAGGAATAAAGCAAGGATAGTATCCTTTAACATGATGTATGGATAACAAATAAATACAGGAAGCACTTCATTGGACTATAAAAGGACTATCACTGTTATTTTAATGATGAATATTGTAATGTAGGCACTTAACAATGAGATGGAGGATAAAAGTATGAATATTTGTATGGATCATCTTAATGGAATATAGTCATGAATATATAAACATGTCTGAAAATGTGCAAAGAGAACAAATATTCACACTGATCTGTCCAGCCAAGAAAACCCTAGAAAACAGTCAGACAACAGCACGAACCAAACGCTGTCAAACACTGACAATAACAAGCTGTAATACACAGTGGACACTGGGAAAAGAGGTTGGAGCAGAATAAATCAGTTGTGTCTGGTAAGGAATACATTATTAGCAGGTGGAGTTTGGGAAGGCAATAATAATGGCCAATCAAAAAATGAATAAGCAAAAGGAGAACAACATTTTTTACATCCTTATTTTCATAATTTCTGCTCATCACTGCTATAGTTATTGTTATTGTTAGGAAGGCGAAAACAGACTTTGCCTAAGTGAATTGCCCACAGTTCATGGAGTTGTGATGTTAAGCACAGGATGTGATGTTTGACTACCTCACCCTACCTCTACCTGTCTGATGTGGGACAAGATGGGGTTTCTCTGCTTTAAATCTCCTCTAACCTGACTCTGACTGATTGACTTCTGGCCTGGTGCCACGATGTTGATGTAGCATGAAATTTGATCTGGAGTCTGCACGTGGTATTATATTTTGAAAATATATTGTATTCTCTATGCCCTTTCTGTGTCTGACTTCCTGCTAGTAGAATTTAATGGTAAGACTTTAAAATCAGGCAGTCGGTCACTTAAGTGCCTTGGCCATGAAGAAAGTAAAAAAGGTCATGTGAATGCTCTTACATGGGAATGTGAAGAAGAAGAAGAAGATATACTGTATTGATCCCCTAGGGGAAATTGTTCTTTTCATTCTTTTTATACACACACACACACAGGCTGAAATGCACACTTCATGCACTTGTGCACATGCAAAGGGGAGAGAGATGGTGGAGTGATGGGGCTGCAACGTTAACAGCGCCCTATGAGCAGGTTTTGGGGTTAGGTTGCCTTGCTCAAGGACACCTCAGCAGTTCACAGGAGGTGAAACTGGCACCTCTCCAGCTACACTGTAAACCCGCATAAGTTGATTGTACTTAAACCATTTGTGTCAAGTGATTGCCTCAAATGGTTTAAGTTATTGACAGTAGAGAAAATTAATTTGTTTAAGTATAGTCAACTTAAATGTACAATAGTCAGAATTTAAAATTCGTTACGTAAAAAGTTACGTACACTTAAATGGTTTAAGTAATCACAGTAGAAAAGTATAGTGGAGTCTACTTAAAAGTACAATAGTCAAAACTTAATATTATAAGTCAAATACACTTAAAATTCTAGTTTTATTAAAAATATGAATATATTACATTTTTAAATATTATATTTGGAATAAGAAAATTCCAATTAAATTATTCTTTTGTCAATGACTACACAATGCAGTACATTTTATTTATTTTATTTAGAGAGCAACAAATATGTATTAACAGTGATGCTGTGTGAAATACCAGATGCAAATCCAAAATAACAGTAAGACCTTGTTTTCATAAAATTATCAAAATGGGTCTTTGCCAACAATTACAACAGTATATTCTTACTTTTTGCAGCAGCTATTACCTTACAGTACCTTGCTATGATGCAGCAAAAAGAACATGTGTATTGAATTAGGAAACGATTTCCTTCCAAATACAATCACGGCTTAGTTTTTAAATATTTTGCTTTGTGAACAATTTTCAAGTATGAAAAAAAAACCAACACTGACCATGTAGGAAAAACTGTATGCTTTGTTTGCCACACAACAAAGCAGGTATTAAGAACAGTAACATTAGGAACAACTATGCAGTGAGGACCAGAGTTGGTAAAAAAAAAAAAAAAACCTGCAACTTTCCAAAATGTGTGCTCTGTAGAATAATTTCAGTAAAACAAGCAACACTAGACACATCTAGTACAAGAAGAATCACATTCAAAATGAGCAACTGCGAGAATATTTGCTCCAGTCAGTGCAATGTATTTGTGCAACAATCCAGACACGGACATTAAGAATTGTGTCATGAGCATAAATGTGTCTTACATTGCAAGATCATTCTTCAGCTTTTGAACCTTGGGAGGTAGCTCACTTCGACCCAAATGTAGCTTCACCTGAATGAAGGCAAATGTGTTTTTTAAGCACTTCAGGTACTGCAGGTGGAGTGCGTAGGTAAAGCCAAACAAGAGGCACATCGGCTGAGGTAGGTTGGTGAGTGCTTCCATTACAAGGCTGCCCTGGATGATCCCCATGAGGGGTTAAGTTGTGGCGATGCTGGGCCTGCTGGGCCTGCTGGGCTGGTGTCCTCATGTCCTCATAGGAGAGGATTCCTACGGGAATGTCGACAGAGTCTCCCTCATTAAAGAGACTATAGTGCGAGAAACAAGACAAAAGGAGGATATTCAGGTTAACAGCAATTTGTCTACAATCAGCTGTGTGGTCTTCATAAATATTATGATTTGCATAATTCACAGTGGTTTTATTTTAGATAATGTTGTGTACACAAGCTATTAGAGGCATTTTTTGTGTGTTCATGTATAGGTGTCTGAGTGCATTGAGAGACTTGAATGTATACATACATTCCTGATGCAAGCAAGGAAAGGGCTCAGTTCTTGCATAAGTCCCATGTTTTAGCCTATAATGTTTAAAAAGCTGTGCTCTGTTCTCACAGATGGCAGGGCAGTACTTGCATTTCCAAGGCATTTTAATATGGCTTTAAACAAAAACAGTAGGGCAAATGAGGCTAATGTTAAAAGTGGGCATTGACATTTTTTCAAAACTACATCGAATAATTTGAATTTTACACTTCTGTTGCAAAACTGTATGTAGAAAACACACAAGTAGAGAGAGCTACTCAAAAATCACAATTGTCACAATTGCAATTGTCCAACGCTTAAAATGTACCTATAAAGCCCTATTCGCACAGGACTAGTATTACCTGGGGACCTCATGTGATTTAGTAATTACCCCAGCATGTCTGTGTTTTGTGTGGCGCATTCGCACGGGATAAGCAAAGTCTGTGTTTTAACTCAAATTTATTGACATTATCCCCCGGATATGATGTCAAGGCTCTGCGTAACCTATGCGTAACAGTCTTTTACTGATCTGACGTTACCTTTGCTGGTACTGTTGGGCCCGCGGAGCACCGTGCACTCCTCTATGCTGCCGAACGGCTCGAACATCTTTCTCACATCAGTGTCCATCTGCTGTTTTCCCAGCATGCCCACAAATATCAAAATGCTGTCAAAACTTTAATTTATAATTCCCCCCCCCCCTTATTCTAGACCGGGAAAAAGGGAGGAAAAGGGGGCGCCAAAAAAAAAAAAAAAAAAAAAACCACCCCAAATCAAAAAGATGAAGATTTGCACTGGACTAATATTATCACAACCCGTGTTTGAAAAAGGTAATTGCGGTGATTACTTACAAATACGGCAGCCAGATTCCACTGGATTAATATCTCAGACCGCAATAACAATACAGAGGTCCCCAGGTAATCTAGTCCCGGAATACTTAAGTCAACCCAAACACACACATCAAATGTACACGTTTCAAATAGAAATGTCCAGCAGTTTCTAATACTTGAATAGAGAAAACAACTCACCTCATTCAGGCAGAAATGGTATTCTCTTTACGACAGGCAAATGTCCTTTAAAAGCGCCCAAACTTGCTAAAAACAGAAAAATGCAAGCATGTATTGTCCAAGGAGCATGCAAAGTGCAAAGACCTTAAATTCCTCTGTGTAAACTGGCGTGTAAAATGGCGCAACTTCCTCTGTAGCTGCCAACGGACAAGCACAGACTTGTCTTGAGTTTTGAGCCAATCACAACAGGGCAGCACTGTGGCCTGAGGTAAAACTTGATAGTTTAAGTGTGTTAAACAACTGATTGTCTCATACACTCTTCATATACTCATACTGTTTAAGTAATGCAATAAAACTAATCTTTAAAAGTGGTATTTACTCAAACTGTTTGCACAGCATGAACTTTCGGGTTAACAGTGTACCAGTCCACACTCCATATTTTGTGGTCTGTGGGACTTTAACCGGCGACTCTCCGGTTCCCAGGCCAAGTCCCTACTCACTGAGCTACTGCTGCAAGGCAAGAGCGGGACACAGTCACACCCTACAATGAGTAATAGGATTTATAGTGAATTCACTTCTGGATTTTGCTAGATCTGAGCTGGGGAATAATATATTTGATGACTCTTTTGACTTAGGAATGTATTCAATTCAATTCAATTTTATTTGTATAGCGCCAATTCATAACAGAAGTTATCTCAGGACACTTTTCAAATAGAGCAGGTCTAGACCGAACTCTTTAAAACATTAATTACAGAGACCCAACAGTACCACCATGAGCAAGCACTTGGCGACAAGGGCAAGGAAAAACTGCCTGTTAAAAGGCAGAAACCTAGGACAGATCCTCCGGCTCTAGGTGGGTGGTCGTCTGTCTCGACCAGTTGGGGTGAGAGAGAGAGAGAGTGTATGTGCCCTGAATGCTATGCATAATATAGAAATGTACAATTGTCCTTATAGATGAAAGCGGAAATGAAATAGCAGAAATGTTTTATTTCTTGGGTAAAAATCTTATTTAGGTTCATTAATTTTCTTGGAACTGAAGTGTGACCAACATTGTAGGCAGCGGATGCTCGGCGCAGGAGACACAAGTGGACTCGGGACAGCCAGGCTGGATCGGATCTGCTGATTCAGTTAACATACAAACCAGGGCTGAGACGTTATCCCACTGAACCTAGATGTAATGTCAGTGAAATGTAAATGCTCAGGACATAGAGCCACTTCAGTCTCCATTGCTCTACATAAACACTGTCAGAACTTTAAACTGCAGCTGTTAGAGGAGCTGGAAAGGCACAGAATGGGACTGCTGCTTGTATGCTTAGGGACTGAAGTGGGGGTGTGTCTAGATCTATTTATTACTTCTTATGTTGAATGATTCCTCATGATTTGGTGACCTTTTTCGCCTTCTGTTAACTGAAGCCTGAAACTAAATAAATGTTTTTTACTGAAGCTTATTTGGCCTATTGACAATATATATATATTTGAATCATACAAAGAACATGTGTATTATTTTTTTTTCTTTTTCTTTTCAGACACAAATCTTAATTACAAGCTTTTTTTATTTTACCTTGTGTTAGGCAAAAATAGTTTTGTCAATGAAAATACAGCTTACAATAGCCAAGTTTTTGAGAATTATTATTTTTTTATAATTATTAGCATTGCAACATCCATGTGATTATCATTAAAGGCAGGTTGCATATATAAGAACACACTAAATATCTCAATTCCCACTCCCCCAGTATATCATAAAATTACATTTAAATATTTTGGTTTGATTAAATAATCAAAACAATGTTAATGGCATTGTGCTTGGCATAAATTTCAATTGCATCATGAAATGCTGCACAAGAAGTTAGCGTAGATGCTTCTAGCATCAGTTATAGCAGAATGAAGAGAATTTCTTAATTGAAAGAAGCGCAAAGAACAGCGCTGCAGGCTTTTCTCCATGAAAAATATGTTTTTGCTTTTTGATTTATATGGCTTGTTGATCTGATTGATTTAGGTTCGACCTTTATAGAAGGTGATAGAGAGATGGTTCAATCATAATCACCTTCTAAGTATTTTAGTGCCGAGGTGCTCTTGCAGCTCACCTGGTAGTGCTTGTGCCCCATGTTCCAATTTATTTATGGTTTATTTGATAAGGACAAATACACTAAACAGACTGAAAACAGCTATCCAATGGAAGTATCATATCATATCAGTGTTCATTGTGGATGCTAATTGACGACACCGGTCCCTAGTGGGGCTTTTATGAATATAAGATGTTAAAACAGGATGGTAAAAACTAAATTCAAAATAACAAACAAGAAAAACAACAAAACACATAAAACACAAAATTACAGATGACCCATTTAAACATTAAAGACAAGCTTTACGTAGAGAAAATCAATAAAATGTGCAAAGCTTAGCACCTCGTATTTACCTAAAATGCAGCAATAATTGCCTGGGTGTAAAGACTATGGATTTAACTGCAGACTGGTTGACCTGGGACCAGGTAGTAAAAGCATAGCACATATGATCCCAATCATTGAATTGAACACCAAGGCACAATCAAATGTGAGAGGGAAAAGATTAGTCTTTAGACTCCCACATTCAGGTGTCATGGCTGCTGACAATATAGACATTTTTAATTTCCAACTAAACATTTGTCAGAAAATTGCATAGCAAGTACAGATTTTTGAACAACAGCATTTCAAGTGTCCTATCACGTCGCTGGAATGATTGGATTTTAGTGTCTGTCGCATTTAAATGGAATCTTCTCGACTACAGCAGCCCTGATATCTAAACATCTCTGCAAGCTGCGAGTTCCCTTTTGTTTACTTTGCTGTGCATGGCAAAATATTAAAGTTAAGTCTGTGGAGTACAAGTATTCTTGGGCTCATTAGTGACGGAACAGCTTTATTTACTGACAATATAGGCAGGCAGTAATGTACCACTCCTCCTCCTTCAGGAGGATGATGGCTCTACTTCCGCTGTGATTAACATCCCCTCTTTCCCCATCAAACCTCTCCCAGCTACTGCAAACATCGTCAAAACGTGGCCCCAGGGCCCCACGTCAGGGCAATTCCAGTTCCCAGCTTGGCTATTTTTCTTCCTCAGTTCTTTTTTCCTCTGTGTGTGTGCCTTCACCTGTATCTCTCTGTTTCTGCTCCCCTGTAGCAGTCTGAGGAGGATTATGTGTAGTCATAAACAATAAAGTTGATTTCTTTTTCTACTGCCTTTCCCACTCCAGCTCCAGCACTGAGTAAATCTCGACACTTCAATTGAATCGTTTATCTAAAAATGTGAGTGTGTGTGTGTATGTGTGTCCCCTGGGGTTGTGTTAGTGGAGTTGCCACTAGGCCATATTGATCAGAGGTAATGAGGACAATGAAGACAGACCAGGCAGCACTCACACACACTGACACATATGTTCATGGTGCAAGCATGTATTTGTACACAAACACACACACACACACACACACACAGAAATGCCACAGGAAGGTGAATGGGAGAGTAATTGACTGAGACAATACAAATCATTTGTGGCTGTAGAAGAACATCAAGATTGATGGCTGCTGGGGGTTCCCTTGTGAACCAGGTCCTAGTTTTGAGACGTGAGGACAGTTCACGAAGCAAGGAGACAATGGGGTCAAATAACGAGAAGGAGATGAGAGTGTGCAAAAATGACAGCAGATGGAGAGAAAGCCCCGATCAATGGTGATGGGGGGAGCTATAAAGGGCAGGCTGTTCTAGCCAAACCACTCCCTCCCCTCTTTGTTTCAAGTTGATTAACCCTGTCATACATTATGTATCCTGTACTGGAAGTGAAAATGACTTTTGCTATGGGGAGATGTGTAAGAACACGGTGCCGGGCCCTGCCACTCAGATTGCTCTCCTGCGGGAACATCCGTTATCAAGTAATCCTTTTTACCCCAGAAATTGTACTGAATTTTTTGACACGTCAGCTTTCAGGGTTGCAATGCATGCATTATGTGTCTCGATGAATAATATCATACTTCCATTCTTATATTTTAATATAATTTCTGTGAATACGGGATTGTGAGAATAGTCCCGATACGGCATTCAGGGATGTAGGATTTTATAAAACATTGTGTGAGTAAAGCTGAGGTGTGAAGTCCATTTGCTCAAAAACTGAAATACAATTTTGAGATACTGAGACTAGTTCTTTCATGTTATAAGATATAATATGTTGACTCTTACTTTGCAGAATATTTTAGAAGCAAAACATATGCTGTGCTTGTAAAATACATTATGTATTGTTAAGAGTTTAAAGTGTAACTAAACCCCTGAATTCTGCTAGCTAAAGCAAATGTAAAAAATGCAGCAGAGATTCATATAGGGGGTGTGGCCTTGTGGCTGCACAGTTTGTGACACCAGAGGTAACACTGACCAGAGTGACAGACTGACTATCGTAGCACCGTGTAGGAAGAGTACAGCTGCAATGAATCAGGACTAACAGAGCTAAACCAGCCATGAGCAGCTGCTGTCAGACTTTCCCTGACTCTGCTGGAAACAAAGAGTTTGCTGGAGCTTCAACAGTCACCAGAAGCACATTCACTGCCGTTTGTAAAAGTTTGGTACATGTGTCTTAGAGCGTTTTCACACCTAAAGGTCCGGACCAAGGTCCGCAACAAATTTCGTGTTTAATTACATTGTATACGTTTGATCCCGTTATTTTTGGTTTCACATAGTAATTTTGCTAGCGCACTAAAGAACTTTCCATGACATACCTATACCATACCTACGGCGTGTCGTCACCACGTACGTGTGTTCCCCGCCTTGATTGGTGAGTAGATGGGCGTGTGTCTGACATTGGCGTGTTGTCATTTTGAATGAATGAGTAAATCCCGATTGCGTTATTATGGTATTACTACCAGCAGCAACAACGTCAGCAACAACTGCAAGCACAATACTCGCGAGAAATGTACGTTCTCGTAGTGCAAAATACGTACCCTCTCTCTCTTTCATCCGCTCAGAAAATGTTTTGTAAATGTCGGCATTTTTGTGAGTGTTTTTTTCAAATTGAAATTAAACATGTAATCTCCTCCTCTCCCCACGTACTTCCACGACTCATTTTAGCTTGTTCTGGCGGGGGTTTTCTTCCATTTTTTTTTCCTTCTTCTTCTATGGTACGTATGCCTAACTTCCTGTAATTGGTCCAAAAGTCCGAACCATCCAAA